TTTCACGGCTTAGCATAATTTCAATGCAGTGAAACTACCTTCACAGGCAGTTACATGTAGTTTAATATACACTTATTCGTTAATTACGAATACTTCAAAATTTTCAATCATATAAATTTGAATCGAAGCAAATTCATATATTCAAAGCATTTGAATATTCGCATGAGCCTCGTGTAGAGGCATTGACAAAGTTGCACTACAGTCGAACCCCGCTACAGCGAAACTTACGGGGTGCGGAAAATATTTCGTTGAAGCGAGAATTTCGTTGTAGTGAAATAGAAAAAAAACATAGCTGATCTGAGCTAGCTAAACAAAAAATTGTTTGCTTTTAAAATTAAAAAAGTGTCCGCTGCTTCCTATTCTTTTCCAGCAGCATTACAACACGATTCACAGTCATGCATAGCGAGGCCATGGTGAAAACAATTGAAATAATGCCTATAACCGCATTCGTAAACGTACCCAACAGTTGCATTAACTGGTTAACACCAGCAGCCATCTGCTGTTAAAGTGTATCCAACAACGCCGAGATGAAGGTATGCTATGGTGGAGCGGTGACTTTTGCCTTATTCTATGCCATTCTTATCATCCAAATCTCGTGGCTGGCTGATTTGGTTGATAATGCAGATGAACAGCCACTGTGATTAGGTACCACACTGGCCAAGCGCGAATAAAATGATAAGCATTGCAATCGGAAAAAGCATCACTCCGCGGTTGCACGCTGCAGCTGCGTGAAGGAAGCCATGAACTAAGCGACTAAGCTACAGCTTCGGATCGTCTGCGGCCCAAAAGCAAGCCAGTGGCAAAAGCAGGGCCATCCTTCATGAGCAGGGTAGTCTCATTGTTATCGCTATTGAGCAATGGTGGCACCCATACTTGCTAAACAGCAGTGGTTTCTGGTGGTGGCAACGCATGTTTTAGACTTCGTTGACGTATTTTCAGGTTCTCGAAATGCATCAAAGTGTTAACGATTGGGTTTCCTGTATCGGAATAAATATCTGAGCCTGGAATTGCATCGTAAAATTTCGTTGCAGCGGGCGAGCAGAAGAAAAAGTGTTCGTTGTGGCGACAATGTTTATGCATTGGCTCCTATGGACTGCTGACGGGGAACCGGGAATTTTTTGTTGTGGCAGAAATTTCATTGAAGCCGTGTCAATTGTTGTAGTCGGGTTCGACTGTATTGTTATTGGCAATGCCCCGAATGAAGCAGATGAACAGCAGTGACACATAGCTGGGGCTAAGCATGGAGGCCATGGTCTTGATTTATTACTTCACTTACCGCTCCCACAGGGCAGCACCATGACAGCAATCAAAGCAATGGTAGAATAAACTGTGAGATAAAAATTGCGCTTGTAAACCCTCTAGAGAATGTGACCGTGGCAAAATGAATAGTGTTTTCGACTTCTCTTGTTGGGGAGCAAGATTTTGCATGTTCGATTTCCACTGGGAGAACTTTTTTTTTTGCCATCAGATTGTGTGCAAGTTTTCGATGTCATTTTCGTGATCGAAATTCGTCAATTAAGTCTGAAGTCATGTGGTGTATGGGGAAGAGCATAGAGATGTGATTGTGTGTATTTATCTTCAGGTTTGGTGATATGGTTGCGGCATGAAATACATTTTCACGATTCTTCAACAGACAGAAATGAGACTGGGAGCATATCATTGGCACATCGGCATAAAACACTTTTGTGTTAAAACAAATCAAGATTTCATTTTTTGCTTGCTTGAAATGGTCCAGTTCCAACAAGATTCAGTTCCGCACCCATTTTTGCAAATTATGATTGAGCGAAAAAGAGCAAGCTTTTTAGACCCGCTGAAGAGGATCAAAGCTTTTCTCAGAATGTGCAAAACCAAAGCTTTCTGCCTCAGGTGAACAAAAAAAAAAAAAGAAAATTGAGACTGGTTGTTTCCCTGAGCTTAGTGAGTTTTTGAGGAAACATTCCAGCTATCTGAAGTCACGTGGTGTATGTTAAATGTGCATAGAGATCCGGTAGTGTTTCTTTTTAGCTTTGTTGGTATGGTCGCAGCATGAAATGCACTCTCACGCTTCTATAATAGACAAGAACGAGACTGGGAGCACATCAGCTAGTAAGCTTTGTCCACGTTGCCACGAAGGCGAAATGTTACCCATGTTGACAATGGGTTCGCTTTAATTGATGTGAAGCTTCTGCAAACGGTGATTGCAAGTAACTGTGTCTGCACTAAATAGTACAGAGGAATCGTGGCACTCATAGAGAGAACGATATACCATGTTCCTTGGAATGGAAGCCATCAGAACTGCCACCTTTTAATAGGTTTCAACTTTCAGATAGGATGTATATCTCTGTTTTGTGTAGAGAATATGTCTTGTTATGCTTGTGCAAGCCAGATAATGTGGTTATGTTGTTGTTGAAAGTAAAGTAGTTGTTGTTCAGCACCATTGCTTGTCTCATCTATGCTTTGTGCTGAAACCTTGAAAAAGGTTGGGTACCAACTAGGCCCAACATAAGTTGTACTCTTATTACAGTGATGCTACTGCTGCGCCATTTGCGGCCAAACTGCGCTGAATTTCCCTGGCTGCTTTTCCTCCAAATTTGGCGAGTCTGTGGCCAGCCTGTGTCAAAGGGTGTGCTCTGACTTTCAGAAACGAAACTACTTGAGGTCATCCCGTAGAAAGTGACATTGCAGTGCACCTGCATTAGACGCAAACCGAGCCAAGCCAAGCCCAACTGGGCGAGATGTCGATGTTGGGACTATGGATAGTTAGGATGTAGTGAATACCCAATTTTTTAGATGCGGAAGCATCTTATACTCGCGCCTTGTAGTGCGCCGTCCGCGCCGTTCGTGCCGTCCGCACCGCTTCTCGAACATTCGACAGCTGACGTGCGCGCATGCGTCGTCGCGCCGTCGCCCACCATCTGTGCCGCGCGCGCTTCTCCTTCGAGAACATTCGACAGCTGACAGCGCATGCGCTGTCGTGCTGTATATATACTCAAGGTCGGCGCTCGCTCGCTCAGTTGCCGCTCGTCGGTTGGTTTGTACGGCGCGTCGACGTCCAAGGTCGCGGTGAAATGAATTCCAACGAATCCACAAACACAATGATCGACGTCCCTTCGACCAGCGCTGCCCTTTCGCATACGTGTGTACGTGTTCACTCATTTAACACCCCCTCCTACAACCACGTTAACCAATTTAGCCATCGACCCAAGTAAGTCGCAATTTAACACCCCATTTCACAACCACGTTAACCAATTTAGCCATCGACCCAAGTAAGTCGCACTTTAACACCCCGTTAACCAATTATATGCTCCGCATTCTCCTCAGTGTTCCCCCGAGGGAAGCTGCGGGCAATTTTTTAGACTTTCTAGGGACCGGGAATCGCCAGAAAAAAAGATTCATGACTTTTTATGCCACGGAAGCAATCAAATCGCCACAGAATCCTCTGAAATAACTTCAATGCCTCCTAGAGTACATTTTCAGTGTACTTTGGTGCACGCGCAGGCAATTGTGAATACATTAAAGGCCTGCCGATGTCCATTCGCAAATATGCATTGTGGGATGAGCTCCCCCAATATCAGCAAAGCGCGGAAGAAGTTGTAGATTTATCGCATGAAGCGTGTGGAAATGATGACGTAGAACATAAAGGATGTGGTAGAATATAGGAATACTTGTCCAGACCACCACGATGCGTGTGTCTACTTAGAAGATGCGCCATTGCACGAAAATCTCCGGCGACACGTAGCAATTGCTGCCACACGAGACCGATCGTTCCTAGTTGTGTTCAGCACATCGACTACATGGCTGACGTTGATCCTACCAAGGTGCTTTCGTACCCACGTGTTTGTCATAAAAAAGTGTTCTTGATGCCCACTCTGTTCCTGATTGCACATGGGCGCTATGATGGTGAGCTGCTTTCGTTCGTCAAGGCAGCTCACACTTAGCCGATTCGCACAGAAAGGCAGCGTGAACGGCGGCGTGCGTGAGTGATTAAAAGCGTGCAGTACGCTGAGCACTGCGCCACATGCAGTCACAAACAGTTTGCTGAAGATGCTTATCATAAAGTGATTAAGTTTTACTGCCGTGTTTGTCGCATTGCCGTCATTATGCCTCTGTGCATTTTCGGCGCTTATCCGTTAGACTTCACCTCGCTTCGCAATAATACTGACCCCTTCGAGTTTTATCTGCTTCACCTCATAGCATTTATGCGTTGAGGCAAAGCCAACTTCGAGGCATTACTGTGACGCCGAACAATTTTTGAAAGCATTTGTTTAAGCCTTCCAGGTCATGAACGTAGTAAAAGTAGAGATTTTAAGTAATAACTAATGCTGTTTCGTACTTGCAATGTCGGTTACAAGCCCAAAGAATCAAAGGCCAGAGAGTTTTGGTGTCGAAAATTTCAGATGCTGTTATCTGTAGATGTCGATAGTGCTTGTGAAGCTGTTGTGAAATCGTCTGAATTTTCAAGCATGTCTTAAAAATTTGGCTTCTGAAAAATCAGCAGTCAACTTATCTACAGTCACGTTATAATAGAGTGCTATGGTTTTGAATTTTATTATTGGCTTTGTCTATTCAGGTTATTTAGGCTTTGTCTATTCAGGTCAGGTTATTTGTCGCTGATATAATTTTTTTTCTTCTTTGCTCTATTATGCGTGAGTAGGGTGCAGCAGCACATTGTTATTTTATCATTTGTGTGTCACGAACAGATTATTAAAAAAACTGGCAGAAAGGCGTTGATGTGATAAAAAAAATCCGTAAACAGGGGTTGTGTCGGGTTGATGTTTCGACAAGCGTACTTGTCTTTCTCTAGGCTAAAACAGAACAGTTTTGTTTTGTGGAAGACAAGACTGCTTGTCGGTGCGTCGGCTTGACACAACGCCTGTTTGCGGATTTATTCGTGAACAGAATAGGTGTCTTAAAATCGACTCTCGTGATATCTGCTCCAAAATGCATTTTTGTCTGCTCCAAATGCTGCTCCAGAGCAGCCTAAGCTAGTAGCATCACTGTTGATATTAAATTCTGTGCAGCAAGGGATGGGTGGAAGTGGTGTCAGTGCCCATAGTGGCCCTAAGCCTGCAGTACACCTACCACCCGATTCCTCCTCTGGACTTTGCACACCCTCTGGATTTTGATGTGACCACACCTGAGAAGGAAGAACTGCTGCTCTCGCCCATCCGGCCTCCCAAGAAGCATGCCACGTTGGTGGCACCCAACGACTTCGACCCTGGTTTGATGGCGGCTGATGTCCTTTCGCTAGAGCTGGAGATTGGGCCATCGGTAAGTGGCGCTTTTTACCAGCCAAGGAAACCGAGGATGGTTGAAAGCTTTGCCCGACGTTCCATAGCTAGCCACCAGTCAGCGCCTAAGGTGATTGAGCTGAGACAGCTCCATAGTTTTCAGCTCAAAGCTAGCTCTCGTGGTTTCAGCCCACCTCATAAGGGCAGGTATCAAGAATTTATACCGGGGTGCAAGTTGAGTCTGGTTTTATTGCAGTAGCTATTATCCGGTAACTCTTATTGAAGATATGTTTTCACAAGTACAATAACATTGCAATTTTGCACCAGGACACATTATTGTGAGAAATGCAAGCGAGCATGTGGGGAACGACAAGGCTCTCCTTTGGTGTACCATTGCCTGCTTGCCTGTGTAGTGCATTGATGTACACTGCAATATATAGCACCTTTTTTTGCAGATGCATTGCTGTCAGTGCTTTGCCTTTGACGCTGTAGGGGGTCCGTCCAATGTACGGCTGACGCAGAAGCCTAGCTAATGTTCTAGTCACACACAGTCATACCGTGCACAATTAATGTCCCCTATTTGTAGCTTGAGTCATCACAGCTACACGGGTTCGGGAGAATAAGGCAACAAGCTAGGTCAACAGCAACACTTTATTGATGTACGTTAGCAATAATACGTAAATGTCACGTAGAGACTTCAGAACAAAAGTGTAGACGCTTATACTGCGGTTGTTGTCATCCTTGGCACGCAATGGGTTCCGGGTTCGACCTTCTTTTTTCATGGCCGGTGTTAGAGGGAGCGTCCGCCAGTCAGCAGGCTGGTTTTCTTCACCATCCCAGTTTCCCTTCCCTCACGAGAATACAATCCCTCGTTGAGAAAGGGGAAACCCGTTCTGTGCACCAGGAAAGGGGGATTGCGAGCGCCGGCCGCGGTGGTATTTTCTCTCTTCGCAAGAACCATTATTGACTTGTCTCGAAGGGACAGTCATGTCCCCGCAACTAGGCTGTCACGCTGCTGTAAAAGAAAAAGAGTGGCTGGATGCACGTGCTCTCCCACAACGCAAGATGTGCATCTTCAAGTACTATATTGCATTCATATTAACAAGAGCCACTTCACCTTAAGTTATTTGGTGCAAGGTGATATATAGCGCAACATGATTGTATTGCGTGAAATGATGAGAGTGCATGCCAACTAGTCTCATATCTGGCAACATGGTTTGTGCAGGTGCTCTCGTTAGAAGGTGGGCTGCTGCACCTGTTAATGCAGTTGAAGGAAAACTACTTTGGGGCCTATCAGGACTATGTGGACATGGAGTCCGATGCACCCACACCTACAGGGCTGCCAGAAGAAGATTTTGATCCACGCTGCTTCAGGCCTCTTGACGTGCGGGCAACTCTCATCATGCATGACATGCACGGCCACCTCATGAAGGTCAGTGCCTTGTTGCCACTCAGTACCTGAAGGAAGCAGGGTTATACAGCGGGGTAAAAAAGTGTTGTTCGTGTGTTTCTTTAGACTTAAATGCAGAACTTTCCGTGTGGGTCATAGTTTCTGAAATCCGCAAAAATTTTCAGTGAAATTTGTTAGATTCTGCTACCAATTGAAAAAGGTTCCTAAATGTTACAAATAGTGTGTGAAGTTGGCAACTTAGCAGTGTTTTGGAGAAAGAAAGGCGGGAGGTTCCGGAGACCTGTGTATAGGTTAGCAGTGTAATCTGTAGTGGTGACAATAGTGGACATTTGAGCACTATGTGCTGTCGATGACCGATAATTTGGATTCCTCCGTGAAAGTAAATAATTCCGAATAATAAAATGTCTTGAATAACGAATGCATCAGAAGAAAAAAAAAGATTTATTGACATTTCAGTGACACGGTAGCTGGAAAAAAAAAGCTGTAAATGCGTTGCTGCACGCACTTCAGCTTGCGTGAAACTGTGTCGGTCTGTATTTCTGCCAGTGTGGTATGCTCGCTGTATGATGAAAGAACAGCAAGGGCTCGAGACAGGTCCGCAAGCAATGACTCTCGAGCACATGGTCTGTCATCATCATCAGAGTCACAATACAGTCGATCCTGGATATATCAAACTTGGATATATCGAATTATTGTCTATATTGAACAGTGGAGAAATATCCATGAATTTCCCATGCAATAGTATGGGACTGATGCATCGGTATATTGAATTCCCGCACAGTGGATCATCCTTTATATCAAACGCTGTGCCGCATTGAAGCCCAAAAAGTGCCCCGCCGCTGTGGTCTAGTGGCTAAGGTACTCGGCTGCTGACCCGCAAGTCGCGAGTTCGAATCCCGGCTCCGGCGGCTGCATTTCCGATGGAGGCGCAAATGTTGTAGGCCCGTGTGCTCAGATTTGGGTGCACGTTAAAGAACCCCAGGTAGTCGAAATTTCCGGAGCCCTCCACTACGGCGTCTCTCATATTCGTATGGTGGTTTTGGGACGTTAAACCCCACAAATCAATCAATCCATAAAAAAAAGCCCAAAAAGTGCATTTTTTTAAGCAAATATTGATAAGTTTTTGGCCTTGTTCTAACAAGATCTGATTCCTTTTCACGTGCAGGTGACACAAAGGCGGTGTTATTCCATCGCACTGATCTGGTTTGTTGAGTAATGCTTGCGAGTGCACCGATATTTTTGATTCGCGGTCTGCAGGTCATAATGCGCGGGCATAGTGTTTTTCAAAAAGACCGATTGCTGAGGACACTAGATCATGGCTCCTGTCGCCGGTGCATCAAAAGTGCACCCATGCGGTTATGCCAACGTCTTCGTTGCCGCTGTTAACCAACCTTTTGCCGCACTTCAAAGCTTGCGTCGAAATTCTGCATCAATCAGCGCTGTTGTGGCTGAATGAGTAGAATTTGTCTATTTGAAAAGCTTTAGTGATTTTGAGGATAACTGGAACTTGATGGCATAAAAGCAGCAAGAAAACCTTACGTACTATTTTCATGTGAAATAAAGTGCGCTAACTTGCAGTTATTAGTTTGTTTTTTGTTATAGTGTGAGCGAATTGCTATGTTAGCGCTTTTAACGATGTACAAGGCCTGAAATGCTTCAATTTAGGCCTGAAATACGCATATTTTGTATTTCTAATTATCGATGTATTGAACTTCTCGCAATTCCCTTCGAGTTTGATATATCTGGGATTGACTGCAGGTTGTTTGGTGGCTGCAGAGGGTCTCAATTATGTTGTCATCATTCAATTCGGCATACAATGACGCAGCACTGATGGCATTTGCGAAATTGTGGTTGAAGGTGTCATCTGCTGAGTAGCACCGAAGCGGCTCTACAAACTTTCCATCACGGTAGTTCACTACCGGCATGCTATTCATTGCATCGTTTTCAACACACATTTTTTTGAAAGCGAAGTTAGTATCTCTTCTGATATGGTTTGCTTCAGAACCTTGAACTCTCAAGCAACTTGGACTTGCGGGCGACTGCTGAGCACTTGCTTAATGATGGCAGCTTTCCTTGCCATGGTTAGCATTGTGTATCTGCTGCATTTCGGGTGGTCATCGGTGCCGATTGGAATGCAAATCTTTCGGAACACCAGACCACAAAATAAAGGTGTCGACACAAAAGCGAATGTGCGCAGAATTCAGCAGAATGCAGCGCCACAGACACATAAGACAGAACGGTGGCAATAGCAGTAGAGCATCATAACAGCAGCGGAATACAGGAAAAGGAATATTGGGTGTTCGCGATGTCGATACAACCTCCCAGAGTGGAGCAGTGCCGCCAAGATCAGCACTTACTAATACAAAGCTGTGAGGCGATTGAAGTAAAATCTCACAGATCACCAATGTGCTTTCATTTTTCATCTCTGAGGCCATACTATGTATGGTATGGGTACAGAAGAAAATAATGGCTGCCGATTTGGCGTGTGCACCAGTTTCAGACTTAGTCTGGATTATTGAATGCATGTCCGGTAGCTGTCCTAAATATCGATCATCTTGACTAATTACTTCTAATGGCCTCTCGGCTGTGCTGCGCAGCTGTCCAAATTACCGAGCATGTCCGAACTATCAGTGTCTGATTCATCAGTCGGCGTAGTTTGATAGTTAAAACAGATCTATGGGCCAACAACGACACGCTCAGTAGAAAATATGGTATGATTAGGCTCATGGTAATGAGCAAGTAAATCACAGTTGTTGCCTCTTGGTGGATTCAGTGTAGCTAAATGTTTGTGCCTAACCCCCATTTTCTGTGCTTTGCTGCCCATTGTGGCCACCTGGCCCAGCTCCCAAGACATGCACACACCATCTTTCTTGTGTAGGGCGACATGAGTAACCACACACGTGTCCTGCTATAAACTGCACTGCCGTTATATCTCAAGATGAGTGTGCTCATAGAACATTTTCTATGCTAGCTCACGGCATGGGAGATAACGGCAGGCTCGTGGCAGTGCCTGGTAGACATAAGAAGTAAGTTCAATGAAAATGACAGTTTCTCAGGGAGGTTCTTTTTATCGTTCTGTGTAAATGGATGAAGTCCATCAGCATCCGAACAAAGGTTGTAGAAGAGCAAAGAGGGCTTTACACTAGAATAGAAGCTTGGACAAGCTGAGGTAATTCATTTCCTCTTTTTTTTTTTTTTTTTTAAGCTAGTTGTGAAGCCCATGTGAAATATTTCTTTAACTCCTGTCGAGACTAACTGGCAGGGACTGGGTCATTTTTTCATCTTATTAGGGGTTCGACTTTACAATAGTAGAGTCAAACTGTGCGACAATGAATTCCGCTACCATGTCCCGTCAGCAGTCCATAGGAGTCAGTGCATAAATATTGTTTCCACAACGAACATTTTTTCTTCTTCCGTACGGCTTCAGTGAAATTTCATGATGCAATTCCAGGCTCAGATAATTATTTCAATGCATTAAACACAGTCTTGAACATTTTGATGCATTTTCAGAACTTGAAAATAGGTCGACAAAGTCTAAAACACGTGTTGGCACTACAAGAAACCGCCGCTGTTCAGCAAGCATGGGCGCTGCCATTGCTTGATAGCGATTGCAATGAAACTGCCCTGCTTTTGCCACAGGCTTGCTTTTGAGCTGCAGACGATTTGAAGCTGAAGCTCAGTTGCTCAGTTCATGGTTTTCTTTCACGCAGTTGTGCAGAACGATGGCTTTTTCTATGCCATTGCGTATCATTTCATTCGCGCTTGGTCATTGTGGTAACTAATCAGAGCAGCTGTTCGTCCGCATTATAAACAAAATCAGGTAGCTGCGAGTTATGGAGGATAAGAAGGACATTGAATAAGGCAAAAGTCATTGCTCCATGATACCCTGCTTCCTTCTCGGGCTTGTCAGATACACTTTGACGGCGCACAGCTGCTGGTGTTATTAATGCAGCTGTTTGGTTTGTTCACGAAAGTGCTTGTAAGCCTTGTTTCAGCATGCATTTCACCATGACCTCACGATGCATGGGTGAGAACCGTGTTGTGACGCTGCTGGGAAAGAATAGGAAGCAATGGACACTTTTTGAATTTTTAGAATAAAGGTTTCTTTGTTATGCTAGCTCTGATCATCTATATTTTTTTTATTTTGCTACAACGAAATTTTCGCTATAATGAAGTTTTTTCACGCCTTGTCAGTTTCGTTGTAGCGGGGTTCAACTGTACCACTCAGAAAACCCATGCTAACATGCCAATGCACTCCGATATATTAGTGGAAAACACTAAATGAAGTAGAATTAAAGTGGGCAGAAATCAGAAAAAAAAAAACAACATTTATTTGACTATACTTAGTAAGTACTATGCATTAAAATAGTTAAGAACTTATTGCTGGGCGATTTGTTGCATAGCTTTGACGAGAATCATTGCACATTCGATCGGACGAACACAGGAGGGAAAAGGCACAGTAAACAGAATGCTTTGTTACCGCATCGTGGCAGGCATAAGGGACGAGGCGATGCAGTGGAGACTGTTAGAGTCACCATATTTGATCCTTGATTCCGCAATGAAAATAGTTATTGCGATGGAAGTGGCAAACAAAGCTTCTCAGGCGCTGTCAGCAGTGATGCCCGTGACTGTTGTACTGACGAATGTCATGTCACGTGATACAGCGAAGCAAAAGCATAAACCAGTTTCATTGTTACGCTGCGGTGGTGATCATCTGGCCATGCAGTGTTGTCGTGCAAGTAGTGTCTGTCACAAGTATCGAAGAAAGGGGCACCTTGCACATTTGATGTGCCACATTTCATAGACTTAACTGAAAAAATTTAACTACAGTTGCTGCGGAGAACGAAGTTAAATAGGAGACAAGAAACGAAGCAGAGAGTACAAAGGCAAACTACAGTCGAACATGGATATATTGAATTTGAAGGGGATTGCGAATAAGTTCGATATATGAAAAATTATATATATAAAAAAAATAGAGGCCCCAAGAGCTTACCAGTAGCAGATCATCACCTACTATAGGG